CCCTCCGGGCCGGCCAGCCTCGCGCGCTGGACGCTGGGCTTCTGCGACGAGCGCCTGGTGCCCTTCGAGCACGCCGAGAGCACGTAAGGCCTCTACCGGGCCCAGCTGTTATCCAAATTGCCCATCCGTGAAGGGCAAGTGATTACCATTCATCCCTCGCTGCCGGTAAGAGGAGACAGCTGAAGACTACTGGAAGAAGCTGAGAGAGGCCTTCCAAGGAGACTCCATCCCAGTCTTGGACCTGCTCATCCTGGGCAGCGGCCCTGATGGTCACACCTGCTCGCTGTTCCCTTTCCACCCGCTCTTGCAGGAGAAGGAGAAGATTGTGGCCCCCGTCAGCGACTCACCAAAGCCGCTACCTCAGCGTGTGACCCTCACACTTCCTGTGCTCAATGCAGCCCGGGCTGTCATTTTTGTGGCAACTGGAGAAGGCAAGGCAGCTGTGCCGAAGCGCATCCTGGGAGGCCGGGAGGAGAACCACTGCCCGCTGCCCTGGTCCAGCCACACACAGGGAAGCTATGCTGGTTCCTGGATGAGGCGGCCGACAGCCTGCTGACCCTGCCCTTCCAGAAGCACTCTACCTTATAGTCGCTGGGCACACCCCAGGACGGGGACCACAGACACCTGAGTGGAAGGGACCTTCTGGGGCTGGGCTCCATGCTCACTGCCACACTCCTGTGTTTGAGCAAAGCCACGTGCCACCTCCAGGAGCCACGAGGGTCTGGTTGTGGCTCAGCCCAGGGCTGGGTGCCTCAGGACAACCTGGATATTAAAAGAAATGGTGGTTGGAATTTTTTTTAAAAGATTTAAATTCTCAGAAACCCAAAGGGGAGTTCTATTATAGGACCCTATGGGGTCGCTTTTCTTCATAGGAGTAGGTTTTGCAAGGGACTGGGCTGCTTCAAGACCATTGGTAGTGTGCCAGCCTCGCCCGATGGAGCGAATGTCTAGTGTTGCTTCCACACCTTCTATGTCCAACCTGCAACCCTGGGATGCCGGGCCTGCCTCAGACTCAGTGTTCTTGACCTTCACCTGATCCCCTAGGATAGGCTGACTCTGGAGGGTGCTCACTCCAACTGCACTTTCCCTTCCCTCGCTCTCAGCCTCTGTGACTCTCCTGCTACAAATAGCAGCAGCAGCCACAGCCACCAGTAGGGGGTTGCCTGGGAGCCTGGTGACAGCAGCAGGTGGTGCTGGGCCACCTCCATGCCCTGCAGGAGCTCGGCCTGGGCCAGGCCAGTGAGAATCAGTTCTGGGGTCTCCTTGGAGGGCCAGGGCCCCAGAAGCACCGCACTGCAGGCTGGTGGGAGGGGGCTCGTGAGGGGCAGTACCGAGCTGAGCTGCTGGCCTCTCAAAGGGAGGGACATCACGGCTGCATAGGAATTTATGGGACCTTTCTCATTTCCTGTACTTCCTAGCAAGGATCCGGCCTACAGCCTGTTACTCTCAAACAAAATCAAACCCACGACCAGACAGTTGATTCTGCCTTGGAGGGCCCTCAATAGGGTTTCTGAGGCTTTCTGGAGCGGCAGACAGCCTAGCTTTCTCCCCAGCAGTGACTGGTGGGTTTGAATCGCTGTCCTTGCTGTTAGTAAGTGGCCTGGTGCGTACCCAACACTGCCACTAGCCTGTTAAGGGAATGTCAGTCTCCTCAGTGGAATCTGTGAAATGGGAAGAGTTATTTTGCCTGGGTCTCAAACACAAGCTCGCTGTCAACCAGGCCCTTCCATCTCAGAGTTAGCTTAGAAGGCAGGGAGGACCGCCCTGGGGGTTCCTGAGACCTCAACTCTTTCTCCCTCAGAGAAGCTGGTGGTTTCAAACTGCCAGCCTTGCTGTTCACAGCCCAGATCATAACCACTAGGCTACCAGGCCTTCTCCAGGCACCCACTATTTTTGTTTTTAAACCCTAGAGTGCGGTCCTTCCTGTTGTCTTAAGGAAAAAAAGAAAAGAGGAATTGCCATCTTCCCCCTGTTTGGTGAGAGGGTTGAATAGGGTGGGCTTGTCATGGACAGCTGTTTATTTCCTCCCATACCTCAGAGGTCTGAGTGAAAAAAAAATCCCTTCATCCACCTTAAATGCAAACAGCTGTGCAGCTGGCACTCTCCCCACCCCACAGCTGGATGTTTTTGCCTGAGGGTGCCCTCTGTGAAGACCACTTGTGACAACACCCAACCTCCAGAAGCCCCCTTTCCTCAGATATGTATGCGTGTGTGCTGAACTGGGTTCCCTGTGTGGTTGGGGACTCAGGGATGACTGATGGAGGTTCTGGTGGCAGAAATTTCAGTCTTGCAAGCGATACACTAAAGTCGTCACATTATAGTAGGAGGTACTGAAATGATGGAGGATTCACCCACCTGTCTTTCCATCCATCCATCCTTCCTTCCATCTGTCTGTCCATCCATCCTTCCTTCCTTTCATCCATCCTTCCATCCATCCAACTAATCTTTTGTTTCTTAAGCACTGATGTCCACATGACTGGACGTTTATTACTAGGAGGAATAAGAATGACTCTGGCCTTCTAGTCCGCTAGGTTTCCAGGGTTTTTTGTTTTGTTTTTGTCTTTGCAAAATCCTTCCTTCAAATGAAAATCTGAAATCATAGGTGGACCCCATCTTATGAACATAAGATTAGAAATGCTGTACAAAAGAAACCAGACACACAAGAGTACAAAACCCCCAACTGCCGGGCCATTCCCAACTCCTGCAACCACCAAGGCCGGGCAGAACTGCTCCGGGTCTCCTGAGGAGGGGAGCTCGATGGAAGCAGACTGCCTCATCTTTCTCCCAGGAATGGCTGGTGGATTTGAACTCAGCCAGCCCTGTGAGCAGCCCAGCACTTACCTGCCGTGCCACTGAAGCTCCTTCACGTAAGGGGCAGATAGACCAGCAGCATCACCAGGACCTAGGAATTTGTTAGAAAGGAGCAGGATCAGTCCCCACCAACATACTGAATCAGAAACTACGGGGCTGGGGCTTCGTACTCCATTTTGACCAGCAATCCATCAGTGCCCAGATTTGAGACCCACGGGAAAAAATGCAAGCAAAACTGATCCATATTGTCAGAGATCCAGGTAGTAGTGACCTTTAAGGGAACAGTGATGGTCCAGAAGTGTAGGGAGTCATCCTGGGTGCCAGTCATACTCTTGTTGCTTGATTTGGATGCTGGTTACACAGCCGGAGAATCCATCCACTGTATATTTACCATATGGGTGTATTTGCTTTATGGTGGTGAAAATATACAGAGAAGATATACCATCTGCACAACTGCCGCATGAACAGTTGTACATGAACAGGGTTACATTCTTCCAGTTGTGTAACCAGGCTCCCCACCTTCTTCCCAAAGCTTTCTACCACCACGAATATAAACTCAATAGTCACTCAGCAGGAACGCCCCCTTCCTCCCTCATGGCATCCCTGGTAACCGTGAATCACCTTTGGTTTCTGGGCACATGTCCTTTTGTGACCGACTGCCTCCATTCAGGATCCTGTGTACAAAGTGCAGCCGCACTGCGGTGCGCAGCTCGGGGCCCGTCCGTTCCTCTGTGCGGTCCAATAAAGCCCTGTTGTACGTGTCCACCATGATGTGTCCCTCCAGTCATCAGCTGATAGTCACTGGGGTTGCTTCCACCCGTTGACGGTTCAATACAGACTTTAAAAGGGTGACACATGGATGGATGGATGGATTGTGATAAGAGTTATACGAGCCTCCAATAACATGATTCTAAAAGGAAAGGGAACTACTTGAGTTGAGTCTTGGGAGGGCGCTAAGCACCTGTCCATGATTCTGCCTTTCTCTCTCCTTGGACGGCTTTCCATGGGACCCCACGGCCCTGGGGGTGTGTTTGAAGGCAATGATCGATTCCAACTGCACCCTGGAAAGTGGGTTAGTGACGTCCCAGGTGCCACCCAGGTTTCCTGGTCCCCAAGCTCTGGACACTGCTCCTTGGCTGCAGGGCCAGTGACTGGTGGGGATGGCCAGCCGCCGCCTCCTTTTCCAGCTCCCTGACTTGGGGCTTGGGAGGACGGATGATGCTTTTCTTATCCCGGAGCAACTTCCTTTCTGGAAACTGGGTGTCTCCTTCTGGGCAAAGACAATAAAATTTGTCCAAGGGGCCAGAGGAGCAGGATTCCTCCTGCCCCCAAGCCGGATGGGCACATCACGTGGCTCCCTGGGTTTAGCAGTCCAGGAAAATTCCAGCCCGTGCACATTCCAGCTCCTGCACCCATCTGCCTACCACCCTGGTACACACAGACTCCCAGACTCACTTTGGACCTTCACCACTGCATGCTCGCCAGCCTCTCATTGCACCCTTGGCTTCTGCCACCTCGCCCCATAACCCCAAAGCTGCACCCCAGCCCTGTTATCCCGCCCACCATGTCCCTGGGGCCACTAAAATTCCAGGCAGTGGGCGAAGAGGATGAAGAGGAGGAGGAGGAGGAGGAGAGCCTGGACTCTCTGAAGGCGCTGACTGCCAAGCTGCAGCTGCAGACCCGGCGCCCTTCCTACCTGGAGTGGACGGCCCGAGTCCAGAGCCAGGCCTGGCACGGGGCCCGAGCCAGACCTGGGCCCGGGGGGCCTGGAGCCATCTGCGGCTTCGACTCAATGCACTCAGCCCTCGAGTGGCTCCGCCAGCAGCTGGTGAGTATGGTGGCTGTGCAACTCTGCGGGGGCCCTCGGGCCTGTCTTGCTTAGAGCCCAAGACCAGGGGTGCAGGGAAGGGGGTGAGAATGGGCCCCACCCCGAGTCGTTGTCCACTCTTGTGACTGTGTCCTGGGTCTGAGGAGACAGGCTGGCATTTGCCCAGTGTTGGGTGGAGGAGAAGGGCTTTGCTGCAAGAGGATCTTGTGCTTCTGAAGCTCAGGGGACGGATAGAGCGGGCCGATGTCCTTGCAGGGGCACCAGTTAGAAGTGGAAATTGCTATGCCCCTAACGCTATGGTCACAAAGGAGGCACTGGCCCGCTATGGGTAGGAACCTGAGGAGGTGATCCTCGGCCCAACATGCACCACTAGTGACGTCAGACTCTGTCCTGGAGACTCTGCTTAGCTGCTGCGGGATGGGGTCCTGGACATCAGCGTGTGTTTAATCGTGGCTCTTTCATTCGGTGTGGGAAGCCTCCCCTCGTGTGCAGCTGGAGCTGAGATGCCAAGGGATCAAGTTAGGGGAAAAGGAGTCTGAGCAGGACATGGCCAGGGCAGATTCCCTGCGGGGGGGTTGTTGACAGGAGGGGACTAACGGCTAAACCACGCGAGGACCGAGGAGTCGGACCCAGGCTTACACCCTCTCTTGGTCGCAGAGGGAGATGCAGGCTCAGGATCGGCAACTGGCGGGGCAGCTGCTGCGGCTGCGGGCCCAGCTGCACCAGCTGAAGGTGGACCAGGCCTGTCACCTGCACCAGGAGCTGCTGGACGAGGCCGAACTGGGGCTGGAGCTGGAGCCCGGCGCTGGCCCAGGCCTGGCCTCTCCGCTGCGGCACCTCGGCCTCACGCGCATGAACATCAGCTCCCGGCGCTTCACCCTCTGCTGAGAAGCACCTGAGGCGCTCCCCGGGGCCACCCACTGCCTCTTCTTCCCCAGCAGGGGGAGAAGGGGTCCCCAGAGGCCTCAGCACCTGGCAGGGGGGAAAGGTGGGGGTGGGGAGGCTCAGCTCTCAGAAATTCTGAGCGCGCAAGTCCCGGCATCCTATCCCTTTCTGGTACCCCAGCTGGGGCAGGAGGGGTGCTCCAAAGCCCC